CTTTTATTTATGCTTGGGATACACTGATACACATTAAAGGTTCAATGGAGAGCTAATGTGACAGCTGGGACAGCTACAGAAAAATTTTCCCTCCTCCTTTTGTGTGTTCCTCACCTGAGTGCGTGCTACTTTGCACAACCCACCGGGACTCCCACCCCCAAGAGACTGAAAAGGGTAACGAGAGCTGTAGTCCAGGTGAAACTGAGAAGGTACTGGAGGCTAGCTTCCTGGCTGTGGGGAGACTCCCGGCGCCAGTTCCTCTCCTGACATTTGGTGTTGATGTGACCCAGGCCTCATGGCTCAAAAGCAGTATCCTCACCCTGTGTTCATCATCTGTTTTATTGTACCTGCTATTGTACCTGTTATTGTACCTGCATTATAATCAGTCTGGTCCTATTTGGCCTTTTAAAATAAGGCCAATATTTGCTAGTGGCCAAAAAGTAATGTTTGAAAGCCTTTTCACTATGAACTCTGTTTCTGTTAAAGGCAAAATTATAAATAAAACAGATTACACAATATATTTCAGTAGTAGCCTGCTATGTGCGCAAGACAGGCAGTAAAGAAAAAGACTCAAACGCAGACTCATAGGCAGAATGTCAACTCAATGACATAAATGTATTTGATGAGAATGGAAAATAACATGAACTATAGTGGGAACATATATCAACGAAACACACCAGGAAGAACATGGGGGAACGCACACAACTATGAGGGAGAATGTGACACAGGACCAAGGAAGAAGCTGGCGTAAATACACAGGAGGATAATGAGGGAAGTGAGAATACACGGGGAACACAGCTGACACGAATTAACATGAAGTCACAGGGGAAAATGGCCTGTATTTATATAGCGCTTTACTAGTCGCTAAGGAAAGCAAAGCGCTTTACATATCCAGTTATCCACCCATTCACACACTGGTGATGGCAATTGTAGGCACAGCCATCCTGGGGCTCACTGACAGAGGCGAGGCTGCCGGACACTGGCGCCACCAGGCCCTCTGACCACCACCAGTAGGCAAAGGGTGAAGTGTCTTGCCCAAGGACACAACGACCGAGACTGTCCAAGCCGGGGCTCGAACCGGCAACCTTCCGATTACAAGGGAAACTCCCAACTCTTGAGCCACGATCGCCTGTTGTGAAGGAGGGGAAACACAACTAGACCCACCAAACATGGAAAACATGGGACTTTCACAATAAAATGGGAAATGGAGGAACATGATGCAGGAGTGGAGGAGAGGCAGACAAGAGGGAGTGAGGGAACACAAGGGAGAGAGAGCCCACTCACTGCCCTTGCAGATAAAACAGTGCTCCACTGTGTCCACAAACAGTGGACAGTTGGTAGTATTTTTTTTACCCATCTCGAACCAAGACTAATTGGATCATCTATCTATGGAGGAAGAATTAAGATAGGAGGAATGAATTTGAGGACTTCTTACCCATGTTTTGCCATGGCAGTTTTATGTATACTTCAGAAAGGGGTGACATCTCTTCCAAAGCTCCAGTTTAGTGGCATCTTGTAGAGAATCCTTCACATTACACTGCTGCAAGATGAAAGCTTTCAGAGTACAGACAGCTACATGTATTTTCGATCTGGATAGGTAAATAATGCCGCTGAGTAGGAGACGAGAACAAGAAAGCAAAGGTAAGCACCACACAGCTAGCTTAAACGTTTTACCACACATAAATCTTCCACTTTGTTGACCTTTACGTTTAAGGTCTAGGGCCAGAAAAGTTCTGATACTAATAATTTGTCACATTATTGCTTTTATTATAAGAGTAAAGTTAACCGACTATTTTTCTGTTGCCAGCTAAATAATTTCTACAGTTAAAATGAGACAGCACTGAAAGCTGGCATTGCAGGAGAAGCAACGATTGGTGTGATATTGACCTGTAAGGTAGGGTTAGGAGAGGTCTGCTCACATGTGCAGACGATCAATGCTCTTCTGGCAGTTTGAATAAAAACTGATTAGTGCATCCAATAGCATAGCAACTATCAGGCATTTTTAGCCTAATAGGACGTTCAGAGGATGGCTGGGGGGCAAAGAACTGTGGTACTGTGTTTGCTTGCTGGATGGGTGTGAAAGTATAGATATAATATATAGAGACAATTATAAAGCAATGTTTTGTTTAAAATTTAATTATTTAGCCTAATGAAGTACATTGAATTCACTCAAACCTTTACACCTCAGCAATATAGGTCACAAGTAGGCTCCTTTCATAATATGCCACCACTCTGGTCTTAACGTCAACATTTAGGATAAGTATGTATAAAAAAGCAAATGGGCTTCGTATTTTATCAGTTTTGTGTGCATTTTGGATTTGTTCAGTTCACACACAGGAGGCCCTGTAGGGCTGGGTTGCATTGTGTGCCGGACTACCAATACTAGCAATTGGGACAAGTAATGTCACCTCTCTGGTGGAGAAGTTATTGCATTTTGAGGTTGCGAGGTACCGTCTTGATATAGTCAGGCTCACCTCAATCCACAATTTGGGCTCTGGAACCAGTATCCTGGAGAGGGGCTGGACTCTGTCTCAGTCTGGAGTTGCGAGACTGAGACAGAGTCCAGGTACTGGAGTGAGAGGCGGTGGGCTGGGGCGGGTATCCTAGTATCCCCTTGGCTTGCTGCCTGTATGTTGGGGTTTCTCCTAGTGGATGAGAGGTTTTGTTTCCTTGCCTTCAGGTTGGGGAATGGGTCTGTGGTTATGCACCAAGTAGAGGTTCAAAGTACCCAGTCTTCTTGGAGTTCCCGGTGGGCTGCTGGAGAGTGCTCTGCCTGGGGACTGTGTTGTCCTACTGGGAGACTTCAATGCTCATGTGGGCAACAGCAGTGAGACCTGGAGGGGTGTGATTGGGAGGAACGGCCTCGCAGATCTGAACCAAGTTGTGTGTTGTTGTTGGACTTCTGTGCAAACCACAGTTTGGCAATGATGGACATCATGTTAGAACATAAGTTTGGCCATAACTGCACGTGGGAGTGTGTGGGAGGAGTTTGGAGAGGCCATGAAAAAGACTTTTGGACTGCCTCAAAGAGAGGTAGTGATGCTGACGCTGCACTGGTCCCTCAAGCTAAGTGTTAAAGAGAAGCTCTCAATTTACCAGTCAATCTACGCCCCACCCTCACCTATGGTCACGAGCTGTGGACAGTGACCGAAAGAATGAAATCGCGAAGGGTGGCTGGCCTCTCCCTTAGAGATAGCGTGAGAAGTTCGGCCATCTGGGAGGGGCTCAGAGTAGAGCCGCTGCTCTTCCGAATAGAAAGGAACCAGTTGAGATGGTTCGGGCATCTGACAAGGATGCCTCCTGGGGTGGGTGAGGTATTCTGGGTATGTCCCACCAGGAGGAGACCTGTTTGTATTATTCTCTCTGTCACTCATATTCTGTTGTGTGTCCCCACAAACCACTTTTCACAAACAGAACTCTTGCATCCTTTTTATTTCCTTGAAATTTGCAGCTTGGTGGAAGCTAAGTACTCTAACTGCTCTTCACAGAGATTTTTTATTGTCCTGAATCTACTCAGTTTTGCAAGCTTCTATGACTAGTCCTTTTAAAGTTGTCTGTAAAAGTTAACAATAAATACCATTTTAGTTGTCATCATTGTGCTTGTGACTTACCATGTGAGGCAGCTTGCTAAGTTTATCGCCATTCTGGCCGACAATTCCAAGACCGGTTTGGTGATGGATTTTTTGTATTAAAAAGAAGTATGATGATTTTTTTGGTCTAAATGTAAAGTTAACAAAACTGACAACTAAAGACAAATCTTTTTTAACTTCTGTGTTGTAATCTAAATTCATAAATTTTATCGTTTCACTACAACGTCAGGAGTTTGTTATGAGGTGTTGCAAAGTTCAGTTCAGTTCAGTTGTATTTATACAGCCCCAAATCACAACGGCAGTTGCTTCTATGTGCTGTATATTATAATAAAATAATACAAAGTGAGCTCACACTCAACTAAACCCCCTTTGAGCATGTACTTTGTTACAATAGAAACGTAAAACTGCCTTTAAACTGGGAGAAACCTTCTGCAGAACCAGGCTCAGGGAGGGGCAGCCATCTGCCACAACTGGCTGGTTGACAACAACTATAACCAGTTAGAACCAGTTCAAAACCAGTCAAAGTGGTTCTCCAGAGGCCTGGTAATGAACTAATCATGTGATTCAGGTGTGTTGACCAGGGTGAGATCTAAAACCTGCAGGACACCGGCCCTCGAAACCTGGAGTTCGACACCCCTGATTTATCTAAACAACTGCAGCTGTTCCCATCATGCCACAGTGTTTTTCGACAGAAAGTGTCACCACCATTGTTTGTGTTGTTAATCAAAAAGATCGATCATTTTATTTTATGAAAGCAGAGACAGAAGCTGATAGCAGAAAAACTCAGCAGAATCAAGTGTTAGATTTTCAGTGCTGAGAGAGAAAAAGTCATTTCAACGCCAACTAAATATTCTTTAACTAGAATAATGTTACGATTAAGAGTTGGCGTAAACAACTTTGTTGCTTTATATGTACACATTCAGTGTTTTATATATTTTAAATAATTATCAAACTCCTGTCCTTCTTGTAATACACCTTGTAAAGTAATAGTACCAAACATGTTAGATTACACTTGGTATTATAGACCTCTTTAAGATCTTCTGACCCTTTGATAAAATGATTTGGACACACACATACACAGAAGAATCATAACTTCTTTCATATAAATAAGGACTTGTTTACAATATATACACATAAACATTAACTTTAGAAAAAGTAAATTCTACCTATGGTGATCCATAGTCAAATTATTAGGAGTTCACTGTAACACTTGGAATTATTTTAACAACTTGAGTTCAGGCACATTTTAACCAGTAATAATTTATAACAGCTGATGGGAGAACAACAAGTGATTTCAATCACTCTGCATGCTTAATGGACAAAAATTAAAGATTCCTCATACCATATCTGACAAAAACAAATGTTAGAACCAAAAGAGGAAGGACATATTATTAATGATATACATGACAAGAGCTTTGAATGTTTCCATCAGTGTTTTTGATGATGGCTGTAGACTGCAGACAGTGTTTCTCAGCTCTCACTGAGGTTGATGCTCCCACAAATCTTCCACTGCAGACCCAGCTGTTAACATGACAATCTTTGGAGTTCAGGGAAGTCATGTCCACACTCAGAAGATGATGGACGTGGCTTCTAATGAAGCAGCAAGGTGAGTGGCATCTGAATTATTCAAGTTGACTACTGCTTCACTGCATTCGCTGCCTAGGCGGTGACTGTTTAGATTTAGGTTATGTTTTCGTTTTATGATTTTATAACATAGTTTGATCAATAAAGCTGCTGCTGGCAGTATAAGTAAAGGATACAGGTTGAGCCATCCTCGACTCTCTGGTTGTGTGTTCACTGTTGGACTTGGACGTTTGGGGTCATCCGAAGCTAACAAAAAGGACACAAGATGCATTTCTTTAATGTGAATAGTTAGTCTACATACCAACCAAAGTAAATTATCCGAAGGTTCAGGCCAAATTTGATACTCATTCCACTAAAAAACTTACCACTGATACTGAGTCTACATCTGGCTGAGCCAAAGCCATAATCTGTCTTCAGTTCACACAAGTACAGACCCGAGTCATCAGTCCTGAGTCTAAACAGTTGAAGTCTAATTCGTCCTTCTCCGAGGGCATCTTTGTCACTCTCAACTCGTCCTGAAAACTTTTCATCCTGAGACTCTGAAACCTCAACACCTTCTTGAACACGATACAGGACTGAATCTGTATGCTCAGTTATCAGTTCACAGAGGATGTTGAGAGTTTTGGGGGATCTGTCAGGTTTGGTGGTGAACATCCACTCCAGTGTGATGTTGTGGTTCTCCTCTGCCTGATAGGAGGTCTGTGTCACATTGACTACAAATGATCCTGTTGAGGAGACAGAGAGGGAAAGAGAGGAGCAGACACACTGAGAACTGGAACAAATCTGTTGTTGAGCTTTATTTGGAGTTCATAAAGTGAAGCTGTAAACTAACCAGAGACACGTGAGGTGAGGATGATGAGTAGCAGGATCCTGCAGATCATCTTCTCCCTGTTAGAGGAGACAGAGCAAGAAAGAAAATCTACAGTCTGACTCAAGACATCACTCATGACAATATCTGATCTGGTTCATGATCCTGATTGGAAAAAAAAAAACATGATAGTATCCTCTAAAAAAAGAAAACTCACTGAAGTTTATCACAATAATTTTTTTTGGATTACCGTACATCATGCTTTTAAACTACAATCAAGAAACATACTGAGCCTACCAAATACTACACCAGCAAGAGCTGCTATGCAATGGAAACATATGCCATGGAGAACAGTTTGAGTGGAATTTGTAGGAGATAAGAAATTTCACCAACTGAATTGTTGCAACGATGGGATCTTATTACAGAAGCTCTTTAGAACAAACCATTGTTTCACAAATGTTTTTAAAGGCAGACTCTATGGCTAGATGCTTGATTTCATATACGTGTGACTTAAGGGTTGAAAAACCTTTGAGTGCCGTCTTTCAGTGTTAAAGAGATATGATGATTACTTCCAAAACCCACCCTATATAGACTCATCCGGTCCAAAGTCAGTGTCCTCCTTAGCCAGGGTTATATGACTGATCCAGAAGCACTACACTTATGTTAACTAAATAACTGATTTGGATTTTAGTTGGAGTAACAAATCAGCAGTGTTGGTGTTCAACTTTTTTATTGCTAAACCAGACTTAATTTCATATATAGCTATAGAAGGCTAAGATGGTGTTTAGCTGAGGAAGCACAGTTGCCTGGACCCCCACTAATGCTGCTGACTAACACCCCCGCCTTCATTCATCCAGTCACATGTGAAATTTTCAGGGTGACAGATTGAAAAACATATGAGTCACTAAGTCACTCTGTTTTGGATAAGCTACCGTGAATGGAGTTTAATATTTTGTCAACACAACAGCATCAAATTTTATTTGAAAAAAAAAGAAAGAAAAACCATTAGGATGTGACCTTGATGTGTGTTTTATTTCTTTTCTGTTTTATTTCAATAAATCCCCATTAGTCACTCTTTATTTTCACTTTGAAACAATCATTCAAACTATTGACAGCTACACATTTAATAACAATGGAAAGTTTACTTAAAACAATGAGCATTATTTTTTTAGAATGAACATTTTATAATATTCTCTTTTGCTGAACACCTGACTGCAGTGCACAAGGTAAGTTGTTAAGGGCTTTAATACTGAGCATACTTTGGAAATATAATACACAGACAGTAAAGACATCGTCCTTCCCGGAAGTATATCTGTTCTTTTTTTTAACACCAATGGAAGATGACTCAAATCCTTCATTCTTTCTGGATGAGTTTCTGCAGATAAGTTGCATTGTTGAACATAATAGATTTGCTGGAGATGTAATATTTAGACTGAAAAATGAAGAAAAAAAAACATTTTCTGTTGCTTAGAAATGAATAGTTTTCCAGCTGTATTTTAATTAAAGGTGAAGGCTTATTGGCAGTTAATATTACAAAATGTCACTCTTTCCTATGTAGGTGGTTTGGTGTGAAAATGACTCAGAGGATAAAAACATCGCATCAGGTGGGGGAGTCACATCAAAAATGATCAGCAGATTTTGTCCATCACAACTCTCTCTCAGTGGCAATTTTGCTAAAAGGAAACCCATAGGTTTTCAATGCATATTAACCAGAAGAGGTCACCACAAGAACAAAGACACAAAGACTCCCCCCCCCCCCACACACACACACACACAACCTTCAAACCTATAACATTACCACCAAACATACACACAAATGAACAAATGTAAGGATAAAAAACTTCAGCTCACCATGTACTGGATATTTTCAAGAATAGCATTAAGTGTGGACGTGTCCAAAGTGATAGATGAGGTACTTTCAATGTTTACAGCAGCATAGGACAAGTGGTGACAGGTCTTCAAACACAACTAAAACTTGTTGTTGGTTAGTGGATGAGGGCGTATATAGGGGCATACGCCTTTTATTATCACTGGAGCTTTCGTGAAACACTCCACAAGGCTCAGTGACTATTTAAGGCTAAATGCACTGACAGCTGGGAGCTGCTTTGTTTTGCCAAAATAAAACAGTTTGTTTTGGGAATTAAACACAAGTCAGCCTCCATTAATGAAAATACTTGCTCTCCCTGTGCTTAGTTTTAGCTAAAAACATGCTGGTGGTTGCTAATCAAGCTCTTAACACGACATGAGCCTCCACCCTCCATAGCAGGATATATTTACCCGCAGCAAAATGCACTTAAAAAGCAAACTAAAAAAGGCTCCTTCAAGGTTGATGCAAAGGCTACTGTAAAGTTTTAAAAGAGCTATGTCGCTCTGTGGTTGTGTGCAAGCATGTGTAATCTGATGATTACATCAGATTTATCTTCATCTTTAATATTACTCTGTAATTTTACAGGGACTAATATGATAAAGGTCTAAGGTGGAGGCAGAATAATTTCTTACCCAATGTACTGTGTAAAAGCCACACAGAAAAAAGTCTCAGTGGACAGCTGCTTATATAAACATATAAAGCAGATATGTGAAAAAGAACTGAAGGAGAACTGAGGAAGGAGAAACAGTAAATCTACCCAGCTGTCATGTTGTTAAGTTAACTTTTTTTTTTCTCGTTCATTCCTGTCAGGCCAGTTTTCCAATCTGACCATGATCTCTCTCAACATAATTATGTTTATAGATCCTCACATCATCATCTGGGTACATATGTATACATAAATAAGTAAATCTGTTTTTTTTGTAAGGGTACTGACAATCCAAGTGTTTTTCAGATATGTTCAGTTTGACCCTTGCATTTAAAATCAATGTCATAATGTTTTAATACAAAGCAAATTAGCTATACATCATGTTTATCATCAACATTATTTATTTTGATTTTTCCCTCACTGTTGTTTATTTTATTCTTTACACACATCATGGCCAAGAATGAAATCTAATGAAATGAATGAAAATTCCACCACTTTTTTTTATCATTCCTAAAATAACATTTATTTTGTACTTAAACTATTCCTGGTTTTTTTTTTATCATCTTTAACTTTCCAAAGATGAAATGTTAAGATTGCCTTGCTGAAACTTAGCTAATAGCTACAATTAAAACTTTAATTAAAATAATATCCTAACAAAATAAATTATGTAATTCTGTAGATATTTCATGAAACAATTTCTCTTCAATGAAATTGTTTGAAACTTACCAAATGTTCATCACCACCGTGCTTCAGTCTGCAGCTCACTTTCTTCTGTGCGATACTGCGCAACCTCTGTGGATTTTTATGTTTTGCCTGCGGGTGCCGACACGCCTTCATCGTTTATACTCCGTTGGTTGAACAGAAAATGTGTTAGTTTAGAGTCCAGCTCCTCATGACTTACTTTTAACACGTAGTTTTTTTTAATAATTACAATTTACTGATTTATTCTAGAACTTTACCTACTCATTGGAGGCCTTTTTACAGATAACACCAGCTAGCTTGTGATGGAGAAAGCTATAGTTATTTCTACTTAAAAATGCTTGATATCATCTTTTAAATATATTATTTGAAAGGAGGTTGAAGTTGCTCTGTTTTACAAACAATTTAGAGATCACTGTATCTAGAACAAAGAAAGCATGAGACTCGGTGTTGCATTTGTTGAAAAAAGGTCAAAAGAAGAGAAAAAGGAACACAGTCTATCTAAACTATGGCATTTAATTATTTAATTTACCCTAAACTATCTATGGTAATAACAGCATATTTTCATTTTAAACATTAAAGGCAAAAATTATTCGTCCAATTTAGATTTAAAAAAAAAAAAAGATAGATTGCACTAATACTTTGACCCCTTTTTTTCCCTCATTCACTAGACCACGCAAAGGGCACGCGCATCCCTTTGCTTTGCTAGATTGTGATGGCGACAGCAACATAGGCAACATACATCTTTAACAAATGAATGCACATTATATGTCTCGATGCATGCTCAATCATCCAGGTAAGTAAATCCCAAAAGGTTGTTTCATGTTCATCTGGACGTAGTGTTTTCAGTGGGAGAAACGTTTTGTCACTCATCCAAGTGACTTCTTCAGTCATATGCACATTATAGATGCATAAATAATAACATTTGTTGTAAATCTATGGAGAAGTTGGCAAAAAGGTTTGTACAACCTTGTGACAGTATAAAGTGTGTGAAACATGATACTTGATCTTGACATAGTCCATCTCCTAACAATTAATTGCAAACATTCACAACCACTGGTCTGCTTCATTGTTGTTTTGTCCTCTCTGAACAAATGTCAAGCACAGTGTTCAAGCTCACCGCTCCAGGATTACAGACAACTTGACATTAATCAAACAAGTGCAAAACATTTGTGAAATTTTACTTTACTGACCCTTTTCTTTTATTTTGTTTAAAAATTTCAAGATGGTTCAGCCCTGGTAGAACACATAGGTCAGCAGCTGGATTTCTGAAGGAGTATCTATGCAATGTCAGGAAAAGGCTTGATGATCACATTAACAAGGGCTCATTTAGCTATGATGGAAGCGTAAAATGTTGCTCATAAAGGTGCATGAATTGGTCTGAGAGGGAGATTCCCTCTTGACACTTTTCCAAAGTTTTGATGTGTGTTGAATATTATTATATTTTTTATGTTAAGAGTTTTTACATGCAATTTCTTCTAAAACAGAGCCGGCTTTACATAACATGTTTTCATTTGTATTAACATGTACATGTACTGTAACCAAAGGCTGATTTGAAGTAATGGATATACTACAATGAATTTTATACTTTTTTTTTTGCTTGCATTTTACTTTTATTTATATATTTTGTGTGAATTTTGCTTTCTTTATTCTATGTATCGTATGGCAATAAAAGCAGTTTTCAGACAATCTGTTTTGAATGTAGTTTTTATATGCTGAATTTTATAGTATGTAGGAATCCCTTTTTTGACCTTATTAGACAGATACAGTGAAGACTGAAAGGAAAGTGAGAGGGCAAAGGGCCACAGGTCAGACTCGAACCTTGGCTGACCACTCAGCAATGCGGCATATTGGCCCCCGCTCATCCAACTGAGCTGAACTTAAATAGAACCTACATGTTAATGGTTGAAACCTGTGATGGGTTATATGAGTTTCAACCCAATTTTTGGTAACCTCAACTTTAAACATTGGTAAATTTAACCCAATTTGTGGATAATTGTCCCAACCCATTGTGCTGGGCTGAAACACACCCAGTGCTGGGTTTGACCCAGCACTAGGTTACAAATTGGGTTATTTTTAACCAACCATTTTTTACTGTGTAGATATGCATTTAATCACTTTTATTATCAAATAAAATGTATGAACAGGAAATTGTAAAAGGCTTGGACACATTAAGGCATTTGCTGTGTTTAATGTGTAATACTGTGATTTATTTTTATTTTACCAGATTTAAATGTTACATCAGGTCATTTGAGTGGACCACAGCTGCTGTACAGAGTTAACTGTAGGTTAAAGGTTATGTAACCCACAGTTAGCAGTTTCCTGTTTGTACTGTTTGAGTGTTCACTGATCTGTGAAAAGATGGATTCTCATGATACTGAGTAGAGTTATAAGTCATAATACTGGCTCATACGTTTAAAATGGTTAACAGTATTGTCATCTAGCTCATGTGTAGCTGGATTTCTGTTAATGGAGGTTTAACCTTAATCATATATGGTCTGGTCTGAACTAGAATTTCAGGTAAATAAATTTTTTTTTTTGTTAAATGCTTATTTAAATTGGCAATCTCAGTGTTTACTGAGATTAACATTATTTCCCTTAGTCTGTCATGTAAAATTTTGTAGATAACAATAATTTCAATTTTATTTGGGTGTTTGTATCCCTCAGCTTAGCTCATTGGAGTCTGGGGAGTTTAGGGGATCTAATTACATTTCACTCCATATTCAAAAGTGTGTCTCTTGATTTTGGCATCCAGTGGTGCAGTAACATTGAGTCCCCTACCAGTCAGTGAAGGTAGGGCTGCTGGCCCCAAGCTAAGATAAATGGATAGAGTTGAATTAAGACGGGCATCCAGTATAAAATGATGGTCAATTCAAACATGCAGACCATAAAGAATGGCTCTGTACCAAAGTAGTCAGGGCTCAGGTTAACTACGACTGCCTCTAGTGCTGTTGGCCAACATGGTGCATGAACTACGTCTTTATGTTCGTAAGACATTCCTGCAATTTAACTAATTGGTGTGTGTTGTCTGGCTTGATGGATAGATAAAGTTAGGTGTCATCTGCATAATTGTGAAAATGCATGCTATGCCTTCTGACGATACTGCCTAAGGCAGGGGTGTCCAACTCCAGGCCTCAATGGCTGGTGTCCTGCAGGTTTTAGATATCACCCTGAGCCTGTACACTGTATTTGGAACAGAATATGAATTTATCATTTGATCTACACAAAGATTTACTTCACCTTCAAAACTGTCTTGCTTTGTACGATTACAAAGTTATCAAGTTATCAAAAATGCTGCTTTGTTTCAACATTTCACAAGCCAAACTCAATAAGTAATGTTACAAAGCAGTGGCTTCTGATTGTCTTACTACTGCTCTTATCTGGTAATGTGCAACCTAACCCAAGCCCTGAGCTCCAGTGTAGTCAGACACCATCTCAATTTAAATATTCACCTGGGTTGAAGATAGTTCATCTTAATGTGCGCAGTTTGTTACCCAAGTTGGATATGATCAAGATTTAGGTTCAATCAACAGATACAGATATTGTCCTAATTTCTTCTTCTGCTTCTGCTAAATGTCTTCAAATGGTTGATACTGTGTATCATGCTTCTCTGAGGTTCATCACTAACTATAAATCTCAGACTCACCACTGTGAGCAATACTCTCAGGTAGGATGGCCTGCTTTGGAAAGTCAGAGGAACTCTCATTTATACAGTTTTATATATAA